AAAAAAAAAAAAAAAAAAAAAAAACAGTCAAATTGGGCAGCACTTGTGGCTCAAAGGAGTAGGGCACCGGCCCCATACACCAGAGGTGGCTGGTTCGAACCCAGCCCTGGCCAAAAACTGCAAAATAAATAAGCTTAAAAAAAAAAAAACCAGTCAAATTATCATTGATTCCCTTCTTTCATTTCTCCTGTTGTTTTTTTTTAAGTACTTCAGCATCTCTACTATCCCAAAGTTCTTATCCTCCACAAAGCATAAGTACTTCATTACACTTTATCTGCTTTTACCAAGACCCCTTAGATATTTCTTTTTATAACCACAGCTTATTCACTCCTTTTCCAGTGTCTTGGCTGGTTCTAAAACTCCTTCATTCTGAGGCTTAATCTCCTTAATATGGAAAAGTATTCCTCTGCTCCCCTACACAACCTCAGGAACTCTTCCTGGCTCAGACTTTTCAATTATTTTTGCAGTGGTTATTTTGTTAGGTAAAATGTTACATACAAGCTCCCTTTTTAATATTTCTCATTTCTTTTTTTGAGACAGAGCCTCAAGCTGTCCCCCTGGGTAGAGTGCCATGGCATCACAGCTCACAGCAACCTCCAACTCCTGGACTCAAACAGGTCTCTTGCCTCTGCGTCCCAAGTAGCTGGGACTACAGGCACCACCACAACACCCAGCTATTTTTTGGTTGCAACCGTACTTGTTGTTTGGCAGGCCCAGGCTGGATTCGAACCCACCAGCTCAGGTGTATGTGGCTGGTACCTTAGCCGCTTGAGGCGCCAAATCAATATTTCTCATTTCTTATAATCTCAAGAATCTTTAATAAGTCACTATAACATATCAATTTCTATTATCTTCCCAACAACCTCAAGGGGTTACTGGTAAAACTACTATAGTAAGTTCTCAAAACATCACTGATAAGTTCTTGGAAACCATGACATTAAGAAAAATGAGATAAAGCAGCTCCTTGAGTAACATCGTTTTGTTCAATGACATTTTGCTATAACATTGATGAAGAAAAAAATGTTTCACAATAGGTTGTTTTCACTTGAAGTTGCAGTTTCCATCGGGTATGGTGGCTCATACCTGTAATCCTAGCACTCTGGGAAACCAGCCTGAGAAAGAGACTCTGTTGCTACGGAAAATAGAAAAATAAGCCAAGCATTGTGGTGGGCACCTATAGTCCCATCTACTTGGGAGGCTGAGGCAGGAGGACCGCTTGAACTCAAGAGTTTGAGGTTGCTGTGAGCTAGGCTAATGCCACTGCCTTCTACCTTGGCAACAGAGTGAGACGCTGTCCCCCAAATTAAAAAATTTTTTAAAGTTGCAGTTCCTAAGAACCTGTCAGTGACATCAAATGAGGACTTTCTATATTAATCCCCATTTGCAAAGAAGGAGCCTAAACAAAAAGGTAAAAGACATAGGTAACATAGCTGGTTTATAGCTTCTAACTCAAGTACCCTATCATATAATAATAAAATCTACATTATGAAGGGTGGAAATATGAGTTACATGCTTCCAAGTCAAAAATTTGTTTAAAAGACTTTAAGGCCAGGCGCAGTGGCTCACACCTATAATCCTAGCACTTTGGGGTGGTGCCTATAGCTCAAGCAGCTAAGGTGCCAGGCACATACACCAGAGCTGGCAGGTTCAAATCTGGCCCAGGTTTGCCAAACAGTGATAACTACAACCAAAAAAATAGTCGGGCGTTGTGGCAAGTGCCTGTAGTCCCAGCTACTAAGGAGGCTGAGGCAAGAGAATCACTTAAGCATAGGAGTTGGAGGTTGCTATGAGCTGTACCACCAGAGCACTCTAACCAAGGTAATAGCTTAAGGCTCTGTCTCAAAAAAAAAAAAAATCCTAGCATTTTGGGAGGCCGCAGCAGGTGGATTGCCTGAGCTCAAGAGTTCAAAACCATCCTGAAAGAACAAGACCTTGTCTCTAAAAAAACAGCCAGGCATGGCTCAGTGCCCATAGCATAGTGGTTATGGTACCAGCCACATACACTGAGGCTGGCAGGTTCAAACCCAGCCTGGGCCAGCTAAACAACAATGGCAACTGCAAAAAAAACAGCTGGGCATTGTGGCAGGTACCTGTAGTCACAGCTAGTTGGGAGGCTAAGGCAAGAGAATTGCTTAAGCCCAATAGTTTGAGGTTGCTGTGAGCTATGACATCACAGCATGCTACTGAGGGTGACACAGTGAGACTTTCTCCAAAAAAAAAAAAAAAAAGCCAGGCAGGTAGAGCCTGTAGCTCAGTGGGTAAGGCACCAGCCACATACACTGAGGCTGGCAGGATAGAACCCAGCCTGGGCCAGCCAAAAAAAAGAAAAAGAACAACTGCAACAAAAAATAGCCAGGTATTGTGGCAGGCATCTATAGTCCCAGCTATTTGGGAGGCTGAAGCAAGAGAATCGCTTAAGCCCATGAGTTTAAGGTTCCTGTAAGCTGTGATGCCACGGTACTCTACCCAGGGCAACAGCTTGTGACTGTCTCAAAAAAAAAAAAGTAGCCAGGCATGGTGGCAGGCGCCAACAGTACCAGCTACTTGGGAGGCTAAGGCAAGAGGACTGCTTGAATCCAATAGTTTGAGGCTGCTGTGAGCTATGACATCACAGTACTCTACGGAGGGCAATAAAGTGAGACTCTGTCTCAAAGAAAAAAATAAATTAAAAAAAAATAAAGGACTTCAAATTTATTTCTCATGTAAGGCACTGAGGAGGAGGCTAACATAGTTTCCTAACAAGAAGCATATTCAGCTTTATCTAAGAAAGCTATTCTATAGGAAATAAAAAAATTAGGACAAGATTGCTATATATGCCATATCATTTATAAGCTTGGTGACATTATCTCGTAATAATATACACCTCTATTTTAAATTTATACCAATCTTCAGCAATTAATTTGATTTCCTAAGACTTTCCTGTTAAGAAAGATTTCATACTGACTAGTCAAAATGGGTATTCTAGTTTATTTATTGACTATAATTTCTCACTAAGAATTTCCACTAATAAGGTACCATGAAGGTTTATCAGACATTGATTTATAAATGAGGTTAACCAGAATTGGCCCCCTCATGTTTGATAACTTTTAAATGAAAAAAGTAAGTTACTAATCTCATAAAGCTGAAGACTAGACCTTGGACCCTTGATAACCTCACCAAGATACAGCCACAGGATGGGGCCCAGTCCAAGAAAACCAAGCAATCTTTACTTTTCCCCTCATCACTCACATTTTTTGGCCATAGGACATGAGGTGCAAACATAAGGGCAAGGTTATAAGCCGACATCTTATTCTTGTCTTGTTTCTTTGCTGTCTGGTACAGGAGATCAAGCAATAACTTCAGCAAGTTACGATTGGGAGGAGGTAGAATGAGGAAGAGCAATTGGAGAGCCTCGATTTGCCGCTCCTTATCTGGTATATTGGTCTTGTTTCCTTTATCATCAAACCGCATCAGATCTTGAGAACAAAATAGAATTTGCAGAGAAAGAAAATATCAGCAAGAAAAATCAATGCTATTTCTATTATCTTCCCCTCTACTCTCATACAGAAAGGAGAAAAAAAGAATCAGGCATAAACAAAATTCAAAGATTATGGCAAAATATAATAACAAGATAATGCCCATAAAATTCAACAATAAAAAGATGAAAAATCCCAATTTAAAAATGCGGAAAGGATTTGAATAGACATTATTTCAAAGAAGTAGCCATTTGTATCTCAGTATCATTATCTATCAAGAAAAGATAAATGAAAACCACATGAGATCCTATTTCACAATCATGAAGATGGCTGTAACTTCAGAAAGTCTGATAATAACAAATGTTGGCCAGGATATAGAGAAAATTAGCCCCTCCTACATTGCAGATAGGAATGTAAAATGGTATAACCACTTTGGAAAATATTTTGGCAGTTCCTCAAAAAGTTAGTTACCATTTGAGCCAGCAATTCTATTCCCAAGAGAAATAAAAATATGTCCACATATGCCTTTGATAATACTACCCCCTCCACTCTTCCCCACTCAGATATCTTATGGATAAAATAAACATGAGAGTGAATTATGTCCTTTTAACAGGATGCTTCTAGGCAGCTCCTTGTGAAGTTAGAATCCTTATTTCTCCCCTCACATCTACACAGGTTTCAAAAAAGGTCCCCTGGATAATCAGAATTTCAAAGGACACTGATACTCATTTGGATATAATTCATATAAATCTAAAAATGATTACAGTATGTTACATAAGCTGTTTAACCTCAGTTAATTCCAAATCTAGGGAAGGCAGGCAATATTTCTAGGAAATGTTCTCGTTAATAAGAAACTGAAAACAAAAATCCCTTCTGCTTATCAACAGGGCATATCGAATGCTACAACTGTGCCACACCTCAATATGTTCTCAAAGAGCAATGACTCACAGGGTGGTGGAGGGGAGGATTTCAAACATGAATGAACTCAACAAGAAAGCAAACAAAAAAAATTATCAATATTTTCCAAATCTTTTTCAGAAATCTTAACAACTTTATTTCTCCTCAACTGAAATTATATAATATTCTAATATTTATATTGTCTGGATTCCCACAAAAAGTGCTAAAAATCTAATCTTATTAGATTTTAGAGTAGTGAACTTATTCAAAAGAAAAAATATATATACTTATCTTCTTTAAAATTAGAAGAAAGAGGCTCGGCACCCTACTTACTGAGTTACAGGCACTGGCCACATACACCGAGGCTGGCGGGTTCAACCTGGCCCTGGCCTGCTAAACAACAATGACAACTGCAACCAAAAAACAGCCAGATGTTGTGGAGGGCGCCTATAGTCCTAGCTACTTGGGAGGCTAAGGCAGGAGAATCGCTTAAGTCCAAGAGTTTGAGGTTGCTGTGAGCTATGACGCCAGAGTACCAAGGGCAACATATGAGACTCTGTCTCAAAAAAAAAAAAAAAAGTAAATAAATAAATAAATAAAATTAGAAGAGGAAAGAAATACTCAAGGGCAGAAGAGTAAGCAAATGCAGAATGGATTTTGTTCTGTGTACATTTAGTGCATATAGCAGCATAACAGCTGTGCAATTTAAGAATGAATTCCTACCATATAGGCATAAAGGAGAATGAGGAAATCATTTATGAGCTGTAAATGGAACATTCTCCAAGATGCATTAATTGAAAAAAAAAAAAAAAACCACAGAACCATGAGTATAATACCCTACCAATTACATAAAAAGAGAAACAAAGGAATATATGTAAGTATCTGCTTGTAAGTGTACAAATTATCTCTGGAAGGGTACATTTGAAATCTCTAGCACCGGCTCCCTCTGGGAAGAACAATTGCATGCTGGGGAACAGGAGTAGAAGAGAAGCTTTTCACAATATAGTCTTTGAATCTTTTGAAGTCTGAACCATGTAAATGTATTGCCTATTCAAAAGACAAATATTATTTTTTCAAATGTTTCAAGAATACAGATGACCTTGATTGAGGCACAGACATATTTAGTAAAAGCCTCAAACCAAGGCAAATAAATATACCAACACTGTAACTATTTGAGGTATCTGAATCAATCCAATGGAAAGCTTACATCTATCAAGCAACTAAAATGTTCAAACATTATGCTAGGATCCATCAAGGATACAAAAATAAATAAACCCCAGAACATATCTTATTATCAACTCCTTATCTTAGTAAGAATCTTGAAGTGGGTGGTAGCTGCAGGCATTGTAGGTCACAGAACAGCAGGCACATAGCTGGCTTGTTCCTTGAGCACTGAGAGAGGATGGGGACTTGGGAGCCCAGACTTCTTTATCCTAAGGAAGAAGGAAGCTGGGGACCCAAGGAAAGAGGGACTAGGAACCCCAACTTTTGTGTCTGAGGGAGAAGAGGCTAGAAACCTGCAGGATATAGCTAGGAAAGGTGACCCCTAGATTCCAAGTCACTCATCTGCCCAAGGATGGCAGGTTTGGGATTCAAGATTATAAGGCTGTTTATGGGATTGGAGCCTGGCCTTGCCTCAGGCAAATGATCCCAAGGTGGAATTTTTTTTTTTTTTTTTTTTTTTTTTGAGACAGAGCCTC